CAGCTTTGAAGAAGAAAAAAAAAAAAAAAAATAGGAGCAGTCATGATGTATTGGATGATCCACGTCTGTTATTGGAAGAGATTCCAAGCAGTGTTTCGGTAAATAAACAAACATAATAAAATAAGAAATTTCAATTACATTGCTTATCAATGTTCCAAAACTTTTTAGGGGGAATAATGAATTAGTGTAAGCTTGCTGCTCTCTTGATCTGAACAACTTTCAAGTAATCATCTTCTGAATGCCTCATTTCAATTTTCCCCTTGCAAGCTCAATTCTTACCCAAAAAAAAACCCCTTGATTCTCATACGAGGTCTGTTCATCTGAGATAAGTGTCAATAATATCTTCTTCTAACATTCACTTTTGAAGCTGCGGTAGTTGCAAAACTTAGTTGAGATCATTTATGGCACATTCAGAATATTTGTTGGTTTCTAACTGACATGATGAACCTTTTGAGTGCAAAACTCGTCTGACAGTAAAAGAACGAGGGAGATGCAGCTATCTGTTTGAGAAACTTTAGCATCAAATAAACAAGACACTCGTAGAGATTCAGATTCTGAATATTCTAATCTCCCTCAATATTGCAATAGTAATGACAGTGGAGCTAACTTTGATGCTCGAATGCTCGACAGATATTGAGAAAAATAACAGAGTTGGGAGATGAGCCATTTCACCCCATAAGTCTAAAAAATCTTATTTCATTGTTTAGCTTGGCTTTGGTACAAAGACACCAGGAAAATGAAAGGACATTTAAAATTTCAAATTATGAATCTCAACTTTATTACGCTCTTAAGCTTAGATCTCAAAGCTTTCCCTTTCTCCTTTCTCATTGTTGGTTTGTGACTTTAATATCTTCTGCATAATGAGGAACTTCTGTTTGCATCTTTTCATGCATGGATATTCGCATTTCTTACTTCTCCAATCTTTATAGCAAGTAAAGTAATTACTTTTTCTTTTTGTTACAGGTTTTGGAAAAACTTGCGAATTTTGAGAAAGTCATTTCTGGAAAACTCAGTAACTTCAAGCGCTGAATCTGGGCGTGGCAATGCTGATTTGTCAGACTGGAAATCTGTTAGTTAGAATTCACACTAGAGCCTTGCAAGGTAAATAATTATGAGTTTATTAACATACTTAAATGCCAACTTCGTACCCTTCAACACTTCAATGGACTGAAAATTTTGCATAATATTCCTACCAAAAAAAAAAAAAAAAAAAATTGGCTTAATAGTCCTATAAACAAATTGTAAAGTATTTCAATCTGCCCATAACATTACCCCTTGCTCAACAGGAGATTATGAAGTATATGTTATGTTTATGTTTACTTTATAAATTCATTATGTCCATCCAGTTATAAATTTCTCCTCTGGTTCTTTTTGTCCGATTTTTTAAAAAAATAGTTTAATCATTCAAACTTTTACTTTATTGCAAATGGAAAAATGTTTGAACTGTAATCCTCATCCATCCATTACTTGGTTTTCACCATGGATCATGCAGGACTGCATGTCTCGTGGTGATGATCCAAATGACTACTTTGTGCATGAACCTTTTCTCGAGAAGGGGAAAGAGAAATTTAACAAAATGAAAGCCAAACAAAAACGACGTGAACTGGAATGGGCGGGCAAATCTCTTACTTGACTCGTTAGTCAGGACGCAGGACATGGGTTTGAGAGTAGGTTAAATTCCTGATTGACTTGTCTCCATTTTTTACTTTCGAAATTGATCAAAAATACACATCTCTATTCCCACAGAATGGTGGAGCCAATTGGTTCGGACATGCAAGTTTTTGGATCTGGAAAAAGAAGAATATACGACCTCTCTCGACACATCACGCCATATCCTTCGTCTGTAATTTCCTTTGAATTTAGTTATAAAGCTTGGAGAAAAAGGCAACCCCATCCGTCAAATGTAATTACTTCCAATGGGTTAAGTTCTAGATTTGTTTGATACAAGTTGCAGGGATATGGATGTCCTTGAAGCTTCTTTTGCCTATGATTCATGACTTGGCCAACCCTCATCGTAAAAATGATTCTAATAAGTTGAGACATGAAACTGGGAACTACATATTCTCTGGACAGAAATAAATCAGTTTCCTTTTGTTGGCAGTCTTATTCAGCGGGAGCTCTTCAAAGGATCATATTCTCTGTCTTCTGTACCGCATATTCGGACTAGGAAAGTCTTCAACAGCACATGTTCTTCACAGAGCCGTTACTGCCACCAGACGCGCAAAGATAGTCGGCCAGCCATACTGGTGGGAAGTTGACTGGTACAAATAGGACTCGGCCCAACCGTTCATTAATTTGGTGAGAAAATCATGGTGAGTTTTATTTCTTCATTTATTTATTTTGAGTAAAATTATTGTTCGTTCCCATGCTTCTTTATTCAAATTCGGCTCATTCAAGTTGGTTGAGAGAGAGGGGGAGGGAAAGGGAGAGGGAAAGGGAGAGGGAAATGGATTTAACCTAACCTAACCCCCCACTCTCTATTATTAGATTCCTTGACTTTGTGATTGGCTGGGTTTCGTTCATATTAATGCTTTAAGTTCATCAATTTATTTCACACTATTTAGGGTATTGGGAATTAGGTGAACGGTGGGATTTAGAGGGATTGTTTGAAACGGATTTCACATTTCCCTTGTGTGATTCTGCAATTATTATCATTATTGTTCATGATTTCTTCTGTTCTACACACAATTGCTCAAAGGTTCCCACAATTACCGTTTGCTTTACGCTGCTTTTGTGTATAATTGAAAATTGAGAAATTAAGGGGAGAAAAGGAGATTTGTTTGATTGTTTTGCTTCCATCTCCACTTTGGAGGGGGGCGTGCCACACCACACGGCCTCTCTATTAGTCAAAAGGTAGCGTATAAGTTTGAATTTTTTGAACTTTGTGGCTCAATCTTCTTCTAGGCATGGCCCACTAAGCCGTCATATGGTCTTCCCTGTCAAGAGTTAGAGAGAGAAAAACTATGAAAGACAATCGTTGTAGCTCAAGATCTCATCTCGTACCAGATAAGATAGTATCACTTTTATACTAATATTTTCCTTTTATCTGATTGATGTCTTTGATAGGCATTTCATTTTTCATAATATTATTTCATGTATGGAAATTTCTTTATATAATGGCCTTATTCGCAAATTATTGTTGAGATAATGCTCATAGTTTTATTAGTTTTGACATTGATTTATTTTTTTAATTTTTTCCTCTTGATGAGATGACGAGATGACACTATCAGAAAAAAAAAATAAATAAATTCCATTCTTATAGCATAATAATTATAATAATAATAGTGTCTAGTGCCAACGTAGGCATTTTTCATTGATAAAAAAAATAAACTTGGAAGAAACCTAACATAAATTTCAAATTTTAAATAATTACTCCTTTTTTAGTAGAATTTTGTTTAAATGTTGTACGAAAAATAGTCCTTGAATTGATGAGTAGATAACTTGAAACAAGGTTATGGTGTTACAGTTGAATGCTACATTTGGTTCCCATTGCATAATTGCATAGATAATTATTGAAATTTGGGCATTGTATATTTTCTATGCTTTCAGATGGTAAAAAGTCTGAATTTTTATATTAATTATTTCTATTGACATTAAATAACATAAAATTAAAGAGAGAGACATACAAAGATTTAAAACATTTTCAAACGAGTGTCACAGGAAACAATAAAGTGATTAAAGTTTAGTTAATGTAAATACTTTTGAATCACGTGACACTGTATTAAAATGTATTAAAATATATAGCAATAAATTTATAAACGTAAAAGAATTTACGGTCTCTTTTTAATACAATAAATTTTATCTATTTTAATACTATTTGTAACGGTTTAAATTAAGCCGATATTATCTATTTTAATCTATTACATCGCCGTAACAGTATAATTTTATAAAAAAGCATTTTAATAGATGAGAAAAAATAAATGAAAAAGAAATAAGAAAAGTAAAAAACCGCGTGTTGGCAATCCCAAGTCACCGCTTCCCACCAACGACCGCCCTCAGTGGAAGCCGTAAACAACCATATTCTACCATTCCGTGTTCACACTTGTCAATCTTCAAAACCCTCGTAATCAAACAACTAATTATTATATTATTTTATATTTTTATTTTTAAAAATATTCCAATACTTTTTTCTCCTTTATTTGGCAGGTTTTCATTATATTAATATCTTTACACTGTTGGGCCCCACGTCTCCGGTTTCGATTTAAATTAATACATTTTTTTAGAAAATAATAAGGTGATTGAGAAAAATAAAATAAAATAAAATAAAATGGAGGGAATCCGATTGACTTTCAGAGCTCGAGTTCATAATTTATATGATTTATTATTACATTTAAAGATTTATTTGACACAAATATACAAATTTAATTAACAATTTTAAAAGTTAAAACATTTATATAAAATAGTATTATTCTTTTAGAAAAAAAAAAAGGATTCTAAAAACTTTGAAAAGATTTTATATATCCCTTTAACTTTTTTATTATTTCAAAACCATCCTTAATCCAATACCAAAGACCTATGAAATTATAAAGTGATATCTACTAAATCTTTACATTTAAATTATGTACTTTTTTTTTGCCAGATATTTCATTTTTGGTACTTAACTTGGGGTATCTCAGGAATTATATTATAAAAAATAAAAATAAAAAAACATTCAGGAGTTTTGGAAAATAAAATAAAATAAAAATGGTTATACTTTACCTTAAAACCCATAATTTATCCCTACTTATCAACAAACTTCTATCATACTTAATGTATAGTTATTTTGCAAAATAAGTAATATAAACATACGCAAACCAAAAATAAAAACTACATATTTCACATCATGGGAAAAATCCAAAATGCTAATTAATTCCATAATAAATAAATAAAAACAATAATATATATATATATATATATAAAAATAATAATAAAAGGACGTTGAGTTTGGATTTGGAATAACCAAAGTTGTGTCCTCACCGACCACCACAGATAAATTATGTGGTTTCCGCCATACGATGACGATCCACCCATCTTCTTCAATCTTTTTTTTATTCATATATTTATGTTTATAATATTTTATAAATTATAATTTTGTATTTCGATTTTCAAAAGCGTTGTGGGTTTGTTTCGGCGTTTTGGGGTCTGTAATCTGTGTGTTCACATTGGTGAGTCAAACCTGTAATCATGGACTTCCAAGGGAAGATGAAGATGAAGAATTAGCAACAAAACCCTCACCACAATTCCATTTTTCCATTTTTAAACCCTTTTTTTTTCCCTCACCAAACCCGTAATTCATTTCGTTTCTTTCAAATTTCTTGACCCTTCTTCCCCGATGAATGATTCCACCAACGGCGGCGCGAGGAAGAGGAACAGAGGGGATGAAGCCGATGAAGACGATGGTTCAATCGGAAAAAATGGCAGAGGAAAGGAGTTGAAGGGATTGGTTACTTCTCTGTTGCTGTTGGATGAACAGGAGAAGTATGAGCAGGAAGAACACGACAGAGCTTCCATGGAGGCGAAGGTTTCGATGGAGGTCAATCACAGGAAGAAGACGAAAGCCATGGATGATTTCTACTCAGAAGCTCAAGATTATTACTCTGAAGTCGAAGAGTCCGACCGATTGAAGCGAAAGAAATCGCGATTAGCAGCCAACTCCGTCGCGGTTGCAGCAGCTTCCGATGGATTACAGAAGATCGAAATCGTCAAATCAAACAAACGCGGCGGCGATGGCGGCGGACATCACCGGAGACTATGGGTAAAAGACAGGTCAAAAGCCTGGTGGGATGAATGTAACAGTCCGGATTATCCCGATGAAGAATTCAAGAAGCAATTCCGAATGGGAAGGGCAACTTTTGATATGATTTGTGAAGAGCTTAATTCCGCCATAGCCAAAGAGGACACGACTCTTCGAACCGCCATTCCCGTCCAGCAAAGAGTCGCCGTTTGTCTATGGAGATTAGCCACCGGCGACCCCCTTCGAGTCGTATCAAAGAAATTCGGGTTAGGTATTTCCACTTGCCATAAACTGATTCTGGAGGTCTGCACCGCCATTAGAACAGTGCTAATGCCGAAGCACCTGCAATGGCCGGAGGAAGAAACTCTGAGAAGAATCAAAGAGGAATACGAATCAATTTCCGGGATCCCTAACGTCGTTGGTTCAATGTACACCACACACATTCCGATCATCGCCCCCAAAATCAGCGTCGCAGCTTATTTCAACAAGCGGCACACAGAGAGAAATCAAAAAACATCATATTCAATTACAGTCCAAGGAGTTGTGGATCCGAGAGGGGTGTTCACCGACGTGTGCATCGGTTGGCCGGGATCAATGCCGGACGATCAAGTTCTAGAGAAATCAGCTCTGTTTCAAAGGGCAAACGGGGGACTATTGAAGGGGGTTTGGATTGTTGGGGGCTCCAGTTACCCATTACTGGACTGGGTTTTGGTACCTTACACACAGCAACATTTAACCTGGACTCAACATGCTTTCAACGAGAAGATTGGGGAGATTCAGAAGGTGGCTAAAGATGCCTTTGCTCGGCTGAAGGGACGGTGGCGCTGCCTGCAGAAGCGGACGGAGGTGAAGCTTCAGGACTTGCCGGTGGTGCTCGGAGCTTGCTGTGTTCTCCACAATATTTGTGAATTGGGGAATGAAGAAATGGATAGAGAACTCTCAACAGAGCTTCAAGATGATGAAATGGCTCCTGAAGTTGCTTTGAGGTCAGTGTCCTCCATGAAAGCCAGAGATGCCATTGCTCATAATCTGCTGCACCATGGACTTGCAGGGACTTCTTTTCTTTAGCTAAGGAACTCAGAATCTAATCGTTTTTGGGTATCTGTTCGTTTCACAGCCTGAAGCTGTTGCCCATTTCACTAATGGGGTTCCTTTTTTTTTTTTTTCCCCCCTCTCTAAATTATTTTTTCATATGTTCTTGTTATGAAATTGAAATCACAAAGAAATATTTGTAGTTTAGAGCCATATACAGGTTAGATTCCTAGGCATGACAGACAGAATGGAATTTAAATGAAATGTTCAATTCTTTTAAAAGTTTCCTTCTTATTCTTTACCCTTTTTATGTGGGTGTGTACGTACCTGCACCAGCTCCATTTTTGGGGTTTCCATCACGGTCAATGCTTTAGTTGGAACAGCTTTAATTGGTATCCCCAGCCCCAAGGCAGGTCTTGAAGCACTTGTTTGAGACTTGCATAATTTAAAAATAATCAAAAGTCAGAGAGTTATTGAATTCAAACTTGAGATACCAATAAATTTATGATCTTGGAATCAAATAGAACACGATTGTAAGACTAAACCTATGAGATTAAATTATGCTCCATACATAGCTTCTAAGCGCATTTAGCTTAGAGATAAATTAAAAGGATTATCTTCCTTATATTTTCAATCAATTGCTCATTCATAATTATTATATATATAAACTAGATCTACACATAAACTATTAATAAAAATAGTGTCACAAAAAAATTATAAAAAAGAACATAAAACAATTTAAAAATGAGCACATAGTCATATCAATATTTAAAGGTCAACTCTAACTCTAACTCTAACTTAAATTAGTCAATAAAACTTCAATTATCATCTTAAATGCAGATGGTTCGATCTTCACCAATAATTACTCGATAATGGGATTTAACTTTGTATCCCTTGTGATTGGAAATTCTAAGCTTTCAAACCCCACAAGCTTGAAAAATGTGAACTTTGACCCCTTGTCCTCCCCCTTTCTCTGTAAAACTATTGTTGAGACAAAAGATTTATATATATTCACATGGGTTATAAATTTATAATTCAGAAATACCCCCTTTGGGTGTGGGTTGGTTTTATGTGAAAATAATCATCATTCACATAAAGTTTATTACCTTCGTCAGGAATCTTTATCCCTATGTCATTTTCATAATCCAAAGCAGAAGATGTCTGAAACCTGACAGGCAGAACAAGATTAAGAAGTCATCTGACTACAACTTGTTAGCCAAAAACAGAAACGAAAAAAGTCGCACTGATCAATGACAATACCAAACATGATTTTGATTTTTGGAAATGGGCTATTTGATTCTTCTCTGGGCTCATCCCGGCCCACATCGAAAACTGAAAACAAATGTAATATCAGATATGGTGATAACCACCATTTTGCCAAATGCTTCATTTGAACCATTTAATTCTATTTTCTGTCTGGGAATAGGCACCTAACAGGAAACCATACTTGTAAGTTCATCGTCCGTCATCGTGGTTAGATGGTAAGCGGAAAGGAAAATGTGCAAATTGAATCTTCAAAGCAGGGGAATCAGGCTTTTTGTCATCGAACTTGTAACCAGCAGAAAATCATACATCAGATTATCTAAACTTATATGAAGCATTTTAAGAGTTGTCCTAGTTCATTTAGAGAAATTCATTGATCGAGTGTCCGTTCATAAATAATGTCAATGGCATCATTAGTTAAAGAGGTAGTGGGAAAGGAGAACGGAGGCATTATTTTGGTGAGTGATTCAGGAGTGCCCAAGTACCTGAAACCTTTGGTTTATCATACAGTTTGGTCATCCTTTGTCTTAGAATCCGGCGCAATTGTAGTGCCAGATATACTTGGCTAAATACTAGATCATAAATTTTATGTACCAAGCAATACACAATAAGAATCCCTAAATACTGCTGCACGTTTTCAGTTTCTTCAAGCATTTATCTTTACGTTTTGACTTAGATTATCACCCGTACAGAGAGGAACGAATCATACAATACCTTGAAGAGCTTCCATTGCAGCCTGGGCATATCTTGCTTCACTGAACTCGACAAAACATAATACCGTAGCCTTATCTCCACGCTGCAGTTCAATTACTCGTTATAACAGAAGGAATGTACAATGACGTTTAAGAACATATGACAGAAGAAAAATAATACCATAAAATCTGAGCATAAGGACACAATAATTATAAACAGGACCTCCACCATAGAGTGCATGCAGTTGTTAATTGCCAATGAAGGCCTTATCGTAGTAAAACATGCCTCCATAGTTTAAATTTTAAAGTAAAGGGAGCCTGATAACTTACCCGTCTGGGCTCCTTGTGAACAACTCTGATGTCTTCATAGCCAATAAATGGGCGGAAAAGATCTTACAATTCGAAGTTAAGATATGACAAAACATGACTACGTGACAATAGTTCTGTCTATTGCAATTTACGTCCTATTTTCTTCGACTAAAGTGACATCAAGAAGACAACAATGGTTGTTTTAAGTTTTAACAGAAACTCAACTTGTTTGGGATGCTGCCTACACCCTAGGAAAGTTAAAGCACAGGGTGTAAATAAAGTTGGAGAGACAGGAGAAATAGTAACAAAAGTAAGCACATGAGGCAAAAGGATACGGCCTACTTCTCTCCTAGTACAATCTGTAGGAAGTCCATCAACGAAAATAATGTTTGATTCCCGAGACGAAATTGGATCGCAATCAGCAGTTCTGAGACCAAGAGAATTGGCCCTTTCATGACCTATTTCTGCCATATCCATCAGTCCTGGACTACTGCCCACTGCAATATCTTGTCTTTGACTTGCTAATGAATCTTCAAATGGAGGTCTGTAGCCTTTTGCACTCAAACCGCCCCCAATAACTGGTTCCGGGTATTTACTAATGGTTCCTACTTCAGTATATCCATAAGCTCCCGGTCCTGATGAATTTTTCGACAGTTACAAGACATGTAAAGCACTCATTAAATAAATATATTTTATGCTAAAGATAAAATTCTTACATGTTTCAGCAAATCATCAGGAGGGATGTACCATTGGTCAATAGAGGTCGAATTAGGGTAAGATGTCAAAGGAGGTGCTTCAGAGTAGGTTGAAAGGCCAGACCTCGCTACACTTCCTGCTGCATGAGCCAACAATTGAACATTAGCTTGAAGTATGCTGTTCGCAGAATCGGTTAAATCTACAAACCATGTACTCCACACTTCACATCGCATAAGAAGAATGGAGACTTCCATTTCCCATCTTTCTTTAAGGAAAATCAATTAGCCCTAGATTCTTCCAAGCCAGACCCAAAAACGAGGTACGTGAATAGAATTAAATATTGGTGTGAATAAGCAATGAACAAGGGAATGTTATGGAATGACTAGGTTGAACCACTCGTATCCTAAAATACAGCAGCTGAAATGATTCAACAGAAACTAGCCTTGCAATTGCTCCATATAAATGATTCAACAGCCCGATACTACGGTATCATAAAAATTTTCCAAGAAAAATAATACACTACAGTCATCGAGCAGTACAAGGAACAATTCACATGATCAACCCTATGGCACCTCATCTAGACATCCTCTAACGCAACGATTTCCCAGAAAGTTGATGGTTTATCTTTTCGCCTATATTCAGTACAAATGCAACTGGCCAAAAGCTTATTCTACTTTAATTTTTCTCTTTAAGCTCGATTTCGTTCACCTAAGCTACTTTTCGTTCCATGCTGCCAATATTCTTCCGATCAAGTGTAGCAGTGATTCTAAACAATGAAATCTTGTTCCAAGATCGAGTAAATGGAAGAAATACAAGAGGTCGTTGAACTAGGGTTCCATATGAGATGAGTACCTCTATCTGCTATCTGGTATACGCATCCTCTTCCATGGCTTGGCCGTCTGCTCTGCTTCCGCTGCAACTGCGACCTTCCCGCGGTCTCGTCTTTCTCCGGTTCTCCGTAAATGCTTAAATTGGCCAAAATACTTCCAACATTAAATTTGTTTCAATTATGTCTTATATCCTTTACAAAATTTATTTTTGTTTTCAGAAAAAAAATAAAAATAATAATAATAAAAAAAAGCTTTAGAATATAAATAAAAATTAACCATTATTTATAGTTATATGGAGTATTAATACCATTATTACTATTTATTAAATTAACTTTTTTAGTGTTTCTCTTTCATACACAGCTATGTTTTAATGGGAATAAATAAATAAATAAAATAAAATTTTATATCGTTATAATTGATCTAGAACAATATAATATTATGAATCATATCAGTTATAGCTATTTTGGTTCGCCTCTTAAATATGATTCGTAGGGTTTTACATTCATTGAGACTGTATCATCAATATGAAGGTCGTGCAGGTTCAGCATCATCAATACGAAGGTCGATTGCCTTAAATGCTAGAAATGGAGTATCGGATAGGATATCAAGTTGAGCCATAAACATTTCTGTTTTTAAATTTGAAATTTTCAAATATATTATTTTCTCATAATAAATAGAATAATTTGAACCCGTAATAGATTTTTTTATTCAATTTATTTTTGTATATTTTTATTCCTTATTATATATCCATTGAGTAGTTGGAAAAAAATAGTTTAGTCTTAATCGACAATATTTTCATTAGAGTATAATTAATAAATCCTAATTACTATTTGACCTAAGTAAACCCAAGACAAGAGGTCTTAATTGGAATTTAACACGCTGGTTTATGCCCAGGACTTTGCCCTATGATACGACGTCACTTCACAGCACAATTGGGCTCATATTGGAGTTTTGGAGTGTGCCTCCTGCGTAGCCATGGGGCGCGTTAACCCCAGAACCAAGCCATCGGTGGCGGGAACCGCCGGTAAATCAGAAAGTCGGCGGATGAGCAACGCGGACCGTTCGGCATACTTCGCGAGGAGAGAGGCGGCGAAGATATTGCGGCGTGTTCTTGAGGGTGATGCTCACCGTCGAGCCGTCGCCTCCATCAAGTCACTCGTTTATGCTCCGTCTGTTCGGAATAAGAAGGGTACATTCGCTCTTGTTTGCAAGACTCTCAAGTGTAAGTTCTGAACAACGACTCTTTCCCGCCATGAATGCTGAAAAGGATTTTCAAACGATTCTCGTGTAGGTATCAGAAGAAAATATTGGTTTTAGTTCAACATTTTGTTTTGCGATTGAATAGGAGGGTTAGGAATCATGTATATATTGGTCCAGTTTGTGCCTAAACTTTCATAGGTTTACTTTTGGTTTCTCGGTTGGAGATGTATTCCTTAATTATAAACCCATAATCATTCTCTAAATTAGTCGAAAGTGGATTCCCAACAATTTCAACCATCATTAGCAATCCTCCCCTCGAATAAAGTATACTATAGAGCCTCTCCTAAAGCTATATAGCCCTCGAACAACCTCCTCTTAATCGAGGCTCGACTCCTTTCTCTGGAGCCCTCAAGTAAGTACACCATTTGTTCGAAATTTAAGGATTCTATTGACATGGATAAATTAAGGGCACTCTAATACCATGTTAAGAATCATGAATCTCCACAATGGTATGATATTGTTCACTTTGAGCATAATCTCTCGTGACTTTGATTTTAGTTTTGTTCCAATGGAGATGTATTCCTCCGTTCTAAACCCAAGATCATTCTCTAAATTAGCCAAAGGTGGGACTCTCTCCCACAATCCTCACGGCCTATATTGTAATGCAACAGTTTTTGCTCTACAACTTCGAACTGGATTGATAGCGTAGCAATAGATAATCTGGGAAATTGAAATCCTATTTATTAATAGTGAATGATTATGTGACTAGCTCGGTCAATCATCTCTTTCCTCGCCCTTCAGTGGTAATATCTGCGGTGATGTAGCATAACTAAAAAGGTTCATTTTGTAGCTTTCTGAATTCTCTTGCTTTGGTTGTATTATTAGACCTCCCTATAATCAAGGAAGTACTGGAGGCTGCTGATTTATTGAGCAACAAATGGAAGGTACTCTTGCATCTTCTTTGTAATTCATTTGCTTCATACATATTTCTCAAGTCTTGGATAATTCTGTCTTGATAGCTTTCTCACTTACCACAAACATACCATAACATTAGTGTAATATCGTTGCAGAGGCAGAAGGAATTAATTTATGTCATCATGTATGATATCCTCCTAGGCCAGGTATTTTATTCATCTTAGATCAAGACAATATCAGTTTATCATTCAAAGGTCGACCCCAAAAATGTTTTTTTTGATAGTTGAACAAGCGGGGGTGGATTTATTGTTGCTCAAATTCTGTGTCGACCATCAAGATGTTTTGAAATTTATTTACTCGAAATCAGTTTTGTCCATCTTCAATAGTAACTCTATGGGCATGGCTTTGAGTTTGAAAGTACTTATATCATCAAGAGTTACTGGGTCCGCAGGGAGTTTGGAGGTCGGATCATGTATTTCAGTACCTTGGATAAATTATTGTTACAATAACGTGTCTAATGAATATGTAAAAACTTCTGCTACTGAGACTGCTGCAGCATGCTTATTTTACATTTGGTGTTGATTGACAATATTTTATGGAACTATGCGTAGAAAACTCCTTTAGCTGGCGATGCAGAGAAGTTTCTTATGCGGCAGCAAAGCGCTTTACAATCTGTGGTTACACAGCTTTTGTCAAAGAGAAAAGCAAATAATATTGAAGATTTAATAGCTCGTGGGGATAATCCTGGTAAGTGTTCTTTATGATTCTGTTGTTGTGCTGATTCTACTAGCTTAGGCCCGGTTTGATAACTTTTTAGTTTTCTGTTTTTTTACTCGCATTCTTAGTCAAATTCTAAAAACAAAACAATTTTTTGTAGTTTTGGTTTTTTAAAACACAAGTAGAAATGAATAACAAAATGTAAAAACTTAAGAGTAGAAGTAGTGTTTACAAACTTAATTTTTATGGTTATTCAACTCTGATCTTCAATTCAGGTGTTTCAAGGCCTCGTTTTATACGTGTGAATACTTTGAAGATGGATGTTCACGCAGCAATACAAGAATTAGGCAAAAGATATGCAGTGAGTTCCAAAATCTTTCCGAATTGTTGTTGATGTATTTAAAAGTAGTGTAGAGTTCAATAGCCACAGCAGAATTATCTTCACTTATTGTAACTTCATCATTTTGTAAATTATTAATTATTCTAAGCGCCTCCTAGCCCCTTCAATCCTTTTAAAACATGCATAATGGATGCTGGGATAGAATCTGTTATGAGTTTTATTGTTGGTAAGGTTTGTATTCCATTTGGACACTTCAGAAGAATTCCTTAAAGGTGCTGGTTATTATGTCAAATAGGTTCAGAAGGATGACATGGTTCCTGACCTCTTGGTACTTCCTCCAGGCAGCGATTTACATGATCATCCATTGGTTGCAGATGGGAGTATCTTCATGCAAGTAAGTCCGTAGTTTTCTTCAGTCCAATTGATCACGAAACATGTATTAAAGGTCAAGGGTTGCTGTTCTTTCTTTCTATTGTATAACAACAAGTGAGTACTGATGTTTGTAGGGGAAGGCTAGTTCTATGGTTGCAGTAGCCCTTGATCCCAAGCCAGGATGGGAAGTAAGATCACTTAGCCTGTACTTACTGTCGAGCTCACTTCATAATTTGGATCGATTTCTATGGTTTCTTGGTTTCTCCTCGCTCCTTTCCACCTTTAATTGATATTACAAGTTCTGTCGAACAACTTGCTGTTTTACGAACAACTTAACATCCTTTCTGGTGTATGAACTCGTGTTTTATTGCCTCTTTTCTTTCCACCTCTTTATCACATATTTCAGCTTTGTTCATCCTCCCTGTAGCGTTAATACTCTCCATTCTGATATTTTGTATTATTGAAGGTCCTTGATGCATGTTCAGCTCCGGGTAACAAAACTGTCCACCTTGCCTCTCTCATGAACGGAAAAGGAAGGATCATTGCATGTGAATTGAACGAAAACAGGGTCAAACGCTTACAACATACTATCGAACTATCGGGAGCTTCTAGTATCCTTTGTCGATAGTATATGGGTTTCGTAACTAGCAACTTTCTATCCTTCTGCAATTTTACACCATGTTGTTTTCTCTAATTAGATTAATCACTTTGTATATGAGCCTTTCATTTTAATGGGTTGGAGACTAAAAAGTAACATGATGTCCCCGTTTATGCCATTACCAGCTAATTTCCTGGATAGTTCCTTTATTGATTCCAATATGTTCCTGTAACTTGTACGTTACTTGATTAAACTTAACCTTGGTGCAAGATATAGAAGTTTTGCATGGGGATTTCCTTGCTCTTGATCCAAAAGATCCTTCGTTGTCCAAAGTAAGTTCTGCTCCGATCCGCACTGATCATCTTTTTGTTCAGTTGCCACCCTCCTGTTCTTTTAAACGATGGCTTCTCTGATGTGGTTAGAGTATCCAAGCATTACAGCTTTAAGCGTTTACAAGGCAATTCCATTGCCCCTTGGTTTTGACAGAACGGTAGAAATAATAAGTAATAACCTCAGCCATTATTGCTCAGAAATTAGAATAGTTTGCGATTTCTATTTTTTGCCACGGCATACTGATATTCAGCTGGAAAATGTTCACTCTTGCATCATCCTCTTTTGATTTTTCAAGGTCCGTGCCATTCTTTTGGATCCTTCCTGCTCTGGCTCTGGAACTGCAGCTGCTAGATTAGATCATTTGCTCCCGTCACATGTTGAAGGTAACTCCTAGCCGTGTAATAGTTGGCACAAATTATAATCTATTATCTGCTATATTTCCTTCTGGTTAGTGCTACCTTCATCTATCATCATGAATCGTGCAGGGAAGAGCTCTGGGGATGACCATGAACGATTGGACAAACTCGCTGCGTTTCAGAGGAAGGCTCTAGCTCATGCATTTTCTTGTGAGTTGAGTTTCCTATAGCAATGTATTCTCCTATAAAGCAATCCTTTTTCCATTCACGTTCATGACTAATGTCATCTCCTCGCAGTTCCGGCCGTAGAGAGAATTGTTTACAGCACATGTTCTATTCATCAAGTTGAAAACGAAGATGTTGTACAGTCATTATTACATCTGGCTGAATCGCATGGTTTTCAACTGGAAACTCCGTTCCCACAGTGGCAGCGGCGAGGTCTCCCAGTTTTTGCCGGCGGTAAATATCAACAGATCGTTTGGTGTTTTTCTTGAACTCCCCCTATTCGAATTAGCTATTTAGAGATCTTCGATAAAACATTCAGGATTATCTTCTCATTTATGCAGCTAACCATTTACTTCGAACCGACCCCATCGAAGACAAAGAAGGATTCTTCATAGCACTATTTAAGAAGCAGAACACGACGCACCCATTTCCCCAAATTTCTAGTAGAGATAAAAGCTCTAGAAATCATGGTGGAAATATCAGGAACAGTCGGGCAGTTGCGTGCCTTCCTACCAGCATGTTCAAAATGTGGATGCATGCACATTCAAAGAGGACACGACGGAGAAAAATCCACACTCCATCCGAAACCAGAACAAGATCTTGATTATTCTCAAAACAAAGCACAGTAAAATCTTCAAAGTTTCAACATTTCTGCTCAGGTTAGTTGAATTACAATTCAAGCCTAGCTTTTCATTGTTCATCTTTATGTTTAGAACATCGCATAGCGTCTAATTGACTGTGTCTCATATCTATACGATAGACATTTCTTATAAAACCTTAAAGTTTTCATTAAAATAAGCATTTCAAGCACACACTACAGAGGTAACACCCACATATCAGTTATTACGACAGCAAAAAGGAAAGGGAAAATAAAACACACACGTACACCATGGTGCCATATCTTGAAAACCCATGATCCAAAGAACCCATCCATAATACTCCCGCCCCATCAATTGACCTTGACCTCAACGATCTTGGGCTTCTTAGGCTCCGGTGGTGGCAACTTTTGCACAGTCACAGTAAGCACACCGTCCTGACAAACCGCCGTAATGGCATCCGTGTTGGCATTTTCCGGCAACACAAATTTCCTCATAAACTTGCCGACTCTTCTCTCCATCCTTACGTACTTGGCCCCTTCTTTCTCCTCCTCCCTCTTCCTCTCGCCACTTACCAGTAGCACATTGTCTTCCTCTACCTGAACCTTGATGTCACCAACCTTCAACCCCGGCATGTCGACGACAAAAACATAGGAATTCGGGTACTCCTTGACGTCGGCCGGAGTGGCTGCCATGGCCTTGGCGTCCCGTACGTAGGTACGGGTCGGGGCGCTGAAAGACTTGTCGGCGTCGTCGGCGAAGTCCATCACGTGCTGGAGGGTGGAGAAGAGTGGGGAGTCCAAGCCCATGACTCTGAGATCCATCTTCCTCTTGTTTGATGCTTAGGGAAAGAACACAGGAGAAGGGATGCTAGCGCAAAGGAGAATGTTGTTGGAAACGTTATGGAAGAGATGTTTTACTTGTGGGGAACGGTGACCGGTTGGTTCGGTTTTATATGTGTTGTGAATGAACTTAAGGAACTGAAAGGACGAATTTTCTGGAAGTATTGAGAAGAGCTGGAAGGAGGTTCCAGGAGCTTCTGTAGCATTCCTCGTTTGGATTCTGGAAGTTGACGGAGTCAATAGACGATAATGACCTTGTCACTTTGGAATATTACGGAGAGAAATTTTTATTTGGATTAATAATAAAATTTTTCTCAGAAAAAAATAAAATAAAGGAATACCGCTGATTTTCCCTAAAATTTTAATTTCTACAATTTTACATTTCATTTAATCTTAAATTTTCAAGTATAGTCCCTAAACTTGCAATGTTTGAATTTCTATTGATGTGTTCACTAATTTTAGAAATATAATATTATAAAATTAAACTCTTTAATTTCAATAAAATAAAGTTTTGTACAAATAAGTTTAACCAATGCACAGATGACCCAACGGCGCTACATACGTGGCTGTCCATCTAGGAAGCTACCCTCCACGTGGCCTTGAACCTGGAACGACGTGGCATTAGCAGCCGAAAGCAATTCTCCGACGTGGACTAACGAAGATACTTGGCCCAAAAAGACTAACTTTCGTAATGGGCTTTGAGAATGGATTGGCACAAATGGGCCTGAGGCAGTACCGGCCCATGTTTCGTAGGTTGGTAGCCCACAGAATTCCATTTCCCCCCATAAAACGCTCCCTGTTCTTGGGTTCTCAAAATGTGAACCATTACCAAGAGTCAGTGGTTTCCGTTGATCGCACGAAAACCGGCCATGGATTTGTAAATAGATTGATCAAAAGCTAAGCCGTCACCTTTTTGAACGTAACATAACTGTACAGAAGTGATGAAAACTGAAGCCTTGAGCTATTGGCATGTGTGTCGGAGAAAAACTATGTGCCGATCTGGTTCTGTTGCCTGAGTCTCTGCTTCTTCACCGCCCCAACAATGGGATTTCAATCAAACCTAAGAATGCTTAGCCTCTGGCTTTCGTTTTCGGCTTTTGGTTCATCCCTAAAAGAGGTTAATATCTAAAAATGACCTCGACATGGTGATGGACACGTGTCCACCCTCCTCGATCCTCAAAACCCTCGCGAAAATCCATAAATCTTGTCCTTTCTTTCTTCTTCAGATCTTTATATTCCTTCCTTCGCCTCCATTTCCGCTCTCGCTGCTTTCTGGGTTTTCTACAGACCCTTTTTCGATTTGGGTTTGTGTTTGTTTGGCGCTGGAATCACCTGATCTCCCGTTTCTCCCCTTTGCCTACGCGGGTTGATCGTATTGGATTCTGCCATCTCACAATCCATTTCCATAGAAACGTAAATACTCCACTTATTGCTGTTTTTGTCTCTTGTAGTTCATCTTCTGATCTCCCTTTTTTTGTTTCTATGATGACCCTTTCCATTTGGGTCTTTTCTGTATTTCATTTTTGAAGTTTTGTTTCTGTAAATTACTTCTCTTACACGAGATAGGAGCTTTGATTACATAATTTGGAGAAGGAAGACGGTTCATCTGGTTTCTGGGGTGGTTTGTAAGTAGCGTTAGAACTGGCTAAGATGAGCCTAGATGCCGCTGAGGATGAATCAACCTCTGAAATTCATATTCCAGCAGAGGTTGATTGGGATATGTTAGACAAATCCAAATTCTTTTTTCTGGGTGCTGCTTTATTTTCAGGTGTATCAACCGCCCTTTATCCTATTGTTGTTTTGAAAACTCGACTTCAGGTTTCTTCTACCAAGTTATCCTGCTTTAAAATGTCATATTCTATCATGCGCCATGAAGGCTTAAGAGGATTTTACAGAGGGTTTGGAACCTCTTTAATGGGAACTATCCCAGCTCGAGCCTTTTACATGGCAGCTCTTGAAGTTACCAAGAGTGGTGTTGGAAGTGCAACTATTAGGCTAGGTCTTTCAGACACCACAGCCATGGCTATAGCTAATGCAGCTGCAGGGTTGAGCTCTGCCATGGCTGCTCAATTGGTCTGGACTCCAGTAGATGTTGTAAGCCAACGACTAATGGTTCAGGGAAGCTGCATCAATGCTAAGAACAGTGTTTCTAATCTTAATTCTTGCGTCTATAAAAACGGTATCGACGCGTTTAGAAAGATCATTTATGCTGATGGCTTGCGAGGATTGTATAGGGGATTTGGGATTTCAATATTGACATATGCTCCATCAAATGCAGTTTGGTGGGCTTCTTACTCTGTAGCTCATAGATTCATTTGGAGTGGTCTAAGCTACTACACAAGTAAGAAGGATGAGAGTTGTATAAGTGGCTATGGTTTTAAAGCTGATTCTAAGGCAACAGTGGCAGTTCAGGGGTTGAGTGCAACCTTTGCCAGTGGGGTTTGTGCTATGATAACAATGCCATTGGATACCATCAAGACTAGATTGCAAGTTTTGGATGGAGAAGAAAATGGCCTGAGACGCCCTCTAACGGCGTTGCAGACCATAAGGAACTTGGTGAAGGAAGGCGGTCTGAATGCTTGTTATAGAGGGCTTGGACCGAGGTGGGCTTCGATGGCTATGTCTGCAACCACCATGATCACAACCTATGAGTTTCTCAAACGGCTATCTGCTAAGAACCAAGATCGTTTGAGCTGATCGCTCGAGCGGACGATGACAGATATACAAAGGATACTTTGCAAGTTACATGATTGCCATTTTCTGAGTATAGACTACATGATTGCCATTTTCCCATATTGCTGGGTAGACATGGTTCAAGATCATACTGAATATGGCATGAAAACTTGTAATGTTCATACCTCATCAATAAGGCACTTCATTTTTCCTTTCATTTCTCTTGTACACACGTTTGTGCTAATATAAACTAGTTATCAATGATTTGTATTATATACTTCCAAGAAATATAATCTTCTACTAGGCCTATCTTACCTGCAGACTGTTTCTTTCATCAATGTATTAGCTTCTTTTTCTAAGTTTGTTGTTGGGTGAGGATCTCGAGCATTGATGATTATTGCCTCTTGCTCGTGGTCTACCCCACGGATCGATTCGGGAGGCTTCATTCGCTCTAAGGTTGGTTCCAGGAGTGTTAATGATTATACATTGTTAACTTTTCTCTCTGAAGATCTAACAGGAACTTGGAGAAATTTTCAAATATTTCGAGCCCGGCCGACGCTAAGAGATGTGGAGTTTACAGAATTCAGAAGCTTCTCTGAATTTAACATCTTCTAAAGTGAGAATCCATTGTTGTTTATGTCCTTAAGCTTGGTATTGATCTTCTAAAGTGATTACTTATTTCCTTAATATCTGTCTGTTTGTATAGAGGATTGTGGTGCATACTGCCTTTTGAATTTGATGTTTATTGGACTTTCTCCATGGATATTCTCCTTTCTTGTGTTCCCATTTGGAAACATTTTTGGTAGCATGGTTATGAGAAAGGTTCAGGGTTTATAAGCTTGAAAGAGAAAGTTCGAAGAGAACAATATCTGTTAGCGGTGAGCTTGAGTTGTTACAAATAGTATCAAAGCCAGACACAGGGCGATGTGCCAGAGAGGATGCTGGGCTCCAAGTGAAGTGGATTGTGAGATCCCACACCGAGGAACGAAACATTTCTTATAAGGGTGTGGAAACCTCTTCAAGTACGACAGTATTCGTATCCCAAGGTCACTGTTATACTCATTCAAATCCTAATTTTTACATGATCTTGATGTTTCCCACGACAGGTTTCGCCGGGGAAGAAGTAATGACTGGAGGGTCTCACAGTAGAACTCCGATAATCCACGTCAGCAGCGGTAGCTTCACCAGAAATGGAAGAAGGGTGTGGAACAGAGATTGTCGTCGGTGAATAGAGGGTAGTTCCGATGGAATTTCCATAACGGGAACTCGCCGGGATTCTGAGTGAAGGGATATAATTGTTAAAGCGCGGGAAGTAGTTTATTGCAGTTGGCGCCGGCGGGCGGTTGGGTTTTTCGAAAGAAGTTAGCACCAAAATTGACTTATTATTTTTTTAATAAAAAAAACTATTAATTAAAAATTAAAAATTTATCATATTCACTAGACAGTTTTCAGAATGTTTATTTTATTGCATTTAGTAAAAGTAATTAAATAATTTTTTTTTTTACCAATTTTAAAAAGCAATTTTGATTATTCCACTCTTTATAAAAAAGCACTTTTACGTAAAACTACGGAGAAATTATCCACTGGTTCCATCTCAAAACGACGTGGTAGCGAAACTTGGTAGAGCTGATCATTCAAACGTCGTCGTTTGATCTGGAGATGAAAGCGGCCATTTCTTCGTTGATTAGCTTCAGAAATTTCGATCTCCACGAACCTTCCCTCTCCCGCTCTATTTTCCGGCAGCTCTCTCTTCTTCTACCGTCTCAGTTCCCGGTCATATCCACCGACGCCAAGGTCTACGGCGCCAATTTTACCAATCTGCACCAGAAGTTCCGTTTCCACTCTATCAAGACCTCGCCGATTATGGCCTCATCCTTCAATCCCGAGCGAGCTACATCTCCGCCTGCAGTTCCGCCGCCGGTACCTCCAGTCACCAAGGTCAGTTTGTCTACTTTACTCATTCTCACCTCGGTTTTGTTTCGTTAATTAATGCGATAGTGGTATATCTTGCTTTTATCTTGCTTTTTTCGACGTAGTTTAAAATCGGGCTATGTCAATTGATGGCGACGCCTGATAAGCAAAGGAATATTGAACATGCTCGTAAGGCCATTGAGGAGGCTGTGGGAAAGGGCGCCAAGCTTGTTGTCTTGCCGGTGAGTTCTTAAGTTTGAAAGTTATTGTTAGTTTGGTGTATTTTAAGCTTTCCTGGTGGTATTTCGTGTTTTAGGCCTTCCGTTCTGCTCGTGACTTGTTTTCCCCGCATATTTCTGTGACAGGAAATATGGAATGTTCCTTATTCACCGGATAGCGTATCACTTTATGCCGAGGACATTGAAGCCGGTGGTGAGGCCTCCCCTTCAACAGCAATGTTATCTGAAGTTTCTCGTCGTTTAAAAGTCACAATAGTCGGCGGCTCAATTGTAGAGCGCTCGGGGGATAAAATATATAATACTTGTTGTGTTTTTGGCACTGACGGAAACATGAAAGCTAAACACAGGAAGGTAAAAAAATGATATTAATGCATGGTTTTTTAATCTTTTGATGTTACTGGCATTCAATGAGGCACTAAAGATATTTCCTGATTTGCTTGTGGATGACGGGAGGCCTCGATGGTTCTATTTGGTTATTTGGTGTAAAATTTTCAATCTGTTCCTCATAGTTTCACTTATTTGATGTTCACGTGTCCTTCAGTATGATATCTTGTGTTATCCATATGCTGATTCCTCGTATTCTAACTCAATAATTCTTAAAGGAGTAAATAATTTATGATCTTCACTTTTAGGGTATTCCTCAGTTTGTCTTCTGATACATTTTTCTGTTTTAGTTTTTATTTTGTTGTTAGGAGATGGATTTGGTAATTCAATGCTTCAAGTGTTTTAAAGGAGAAGATGTTAATGTTGTTTAGACAATCTAACTTATCTAGAGGATGTTTCTTTGTTGGTAGTTCATCACTCACAAGTTTATTGTGACATTTTCAACTACAGATACATCTTTTTGATATTGATATCCCTGGAAAAATCACTTTTATCGAGTCCAAGGCTGTCGCAGCAGGTCAAACACCTACTGTTGTGGACACAGGTCGGTATGTGTTTTTTTTTTTTTACTTTTCATGGAGGTCTGTAACTGTCATGTGATTACAATAAACCTAACTAAAATTACATTTCATACTCCTAGTGACTATTATGTTTTCGGAAATTAACTATTTGCTGGTTCATGCAGAAGTTGGACGTATTGGTATTGGAATCTGTTATGACATTCGTTTTCCAGAACTAGCCATGATATATGCTGCAAGAGGTTTGTCCTTTTTTTGCTATTTCTTGTCCAAAATTTCTAGTCTCCTATGACATCTTGTCATGTCTTTCTAATACTGAAAATTACCGTCATTAGTACTCTAGGTTATTACATTTAATGAATAATCATTTACAGTATGCCAATAGTAGTGACCTCCCTCTTACATAATATATTCCTTGTGACATGATTAATCGTATACAGTAAATGGTGTATTCTGCTGTAATATTCGTTCCTTTAAGCTCAAGTTTCCATCTATAATATTGTCAGTTATTGATTATGGGGATTTAACTTTTTCAGTATTTATGTCAGTCATCTCTTATGTTGGTCAGAACAGAGATAAATTGTGTGTGTATTTGGCTTGATAAATATGATCTAATAAAAGATGTATCTTTGACGTGTAAATCTGATTGTATTCTTTAACTCGTCTGGCATCTCATAGATTGTTGTGGTGGCCATACAAAATCAATCGTGTTAATTTTATGTGGACTATCAGGGCAATTTTTGGTGCTGACACTAACAAATTGTTAACATCAGGTGCTCACTTGATTTGCTGTCCTGGGGCATTTAACATGACCACTGGACCATTGCACTGGGAGTTATTGCAGCGCGCAAGGTATAAGCTTCTATATTAATTTCTGCCTTTATGGTTTGTTGCTAATGGTAGTTTACATGTCTTGATGTTGTGTACATGCTAAATAGTATAAAGATGGTTTTGATCTCCAAGATGGGTGAGTTTTAGTTGATACTCTGTACATGATGCCTCAAAAGGCAGATCTAGATTCTTTCTGGGATATATTACTACAACTACCAACATTTGTGAGTACATAGTATGTTGGGACCTGATATACTGGGCCATCTACTGATAAGGGTCCTCTTTTATCTAGCAAAGCCTTTCCTTTGAGTGCCCCTTCCCTCCCCTGGGCAGCCAGGTCTTCAGAAAACCATTGTCGGCTTTTAAGAAAAGGGGGAAAAGGAAAATTTAACTTTCATTATATTGTGACAACCCCGTGGTCTGCTGTTTGTCCATTCAATAATCTGATTCTTTTGGTCCATTTTCTTTTAGATAAAATTGTATTGGATCTACTTAATTTTGGAAGAGTTGAAATTGTATACTATATTGTAGCTTATTGACATACTTGATTGTTTTAACTGATGTTTGTGCTTTGATGTTTTTTGCAGGGCTGTAGATAATCTGGTATTCTACGAGTGATATCAATATGCCATGATTGTTTGTGTAGCTGAATCCATAATACTTCATAGTTTACAAGAATAAGAATAAAAATGCTGCATAGCTCTTTTTATCTTTGTGGGGGGGGGGGGGGGGGGGGGGGGGGGGGGGGGGGGGGGGTTAAACGGTAAAAAAATCCCGTGCTCTAGACAATGTGTTGATGCTGGATATTTGCATATCTTGTTAATGTATGTAAAAATTTTTTAGTCTTCTCTTGGTTCATGAATTTCATTTGAATTCTTCNAAAAAAAAAAAAAAGAAGAATAAGGGCAGTCCCAAACCACAACCTACAAATAGTTAATAAAATAACTCTGCTTGATAAATGGTTGCATATAACGTCATTGAGTGTAGCATAGTTTCCAGAAACTTAAGGAAGAATCTTTCCATCTCGTCTGTGAACAGAACAATCTTAAATGACATTTTTACATTGATACTTTTTTGTTGTTCAGTTGTATGTGGCAACATGTTCACGTGCTCGAGGTGTTGATGATAGTTATGTAGCTTGGGGCCACTCAACCCTTGTTGGGCCGGTAAGTCGATGCTGTAGTCCAGCTTTGTTATTCACTTATATCATGCAACTTAAGCCATTATATTTTTGAGTTTCGAAAGTCTACATCTCAACTCTAGTCGTGGTATAATGCATATTGCAGTTTGGGGAAGTGTTGGCTACAACTGAACATGATGAAGCAATAATCATATCTGAGATTGATTATTCGCTTATTGAGCTTCGAAGGTGATCTGTCTTTTAGACGTTTTAAGAAGTGTTTTTCATTCATTTATTCAACTCTCTCTCATTATGCTAAAACCCTTCAGGACTAACCTACCACTTCTGAAGCAAAAACGTGGGGATCTTTACCAGTTGGTAGATGTTCAGAGGCTGAAATCCGAATGAAAGGTGCAAGGACTGCTTTGAACACTCTTTTGCTTAAAATTTTACGGATTAGAATACACTTTCTGCTACTGCACAATTCCTACTTGTTTCGAAATACTTCCACTACAGACTACGACTGTAGGTGCTGTACTGCTGCGGATTTGTGTGAACAGGCACCGCCCTCTTAAATTTCCATTGTGCTGATGAGTAACGCTTATGTTTTATATAACTCATTAAGGTTCAGAAGTTGGCAATGGCATAAAAATTAATAAAGGCTTATGTAGGACCAATATTACCCTCCGTTCTAAATGCAAAATGGGGTTGAAAAGGAAAAAACAATTTTATCCTGACCGTGACAGCTTTGCCCGTCATTCGTCAAGCCTCAACTGAGAGAAAGAAAAAGAAGACATGAGCCAAATGCGCTCTAGTCCATAGTCTTTATTTCTTTGGCTTTTGTTGGGACTAGAGCCTTTCTTTGGACGCTGTCTCCGATCCCAACCCTTTCTTGGGATCTCCACCATCTCCCACCCCTTTTAAACCGAACTATGGCACCCTTTTTTCCCTTTTTCTTTTTCTTTCTTTCGTTCTCTTTCTTTTTTAAATCTTAGCTCTCATCCCAATCCGTACTTTAGAATACTTGTATTTGATCCCTGATTTGTTACTTTCTCAGAGAAAGAAAAAAGGAAAATCATCCCACATAGATAAAATGTCGGACCACGTTGTAGAGCCACCAAGAAGTTCTTTTAATCATTTGGGTGGAGGAAGGGGGCAGGTTCTAACCCTAGATTCTAGAGTGAACAGAGAGTAAATGGATCACATGCCTACCAAAACTCCATGGTCCCACTACACGGTGCCTCAATAAGCGTAACCATGTTAGATCAACTGCAGTATTGATCATTTGGTTCAATAACGTTTTTTGTCTTGCAGGATACCTTTTTAACTCTGAATTTTTATGATTACCTTGAAGGCCAGGGTTTAAATGACAGACAATTCCTTGGGTTGAATTGAATGCAAAGGGAGAAACTTGACTAAAGTGATGTTGAATCTAACAAATAACAGCTAATGCAGGTGCTCATCGATTCCTTCAATTTGATTAATATGAACTCTGATTATCTTTGTCTGTTGAGACTAATCTCTGTTTCAACATATCAACAAAAAGACTTTGCAATCCTAGGGTGGCCCACTAAAGCGTATGGAAACCCAAAGGGAATGAGCATCATGGCCCTTGGAATTTAGTATTCACCTGGTTGTTTTCTAAACCTTTATTCCTTGTTTTGTTTTCACTTTTATAATTATCTTATGTCATGTTTGATTTCATTTGATATTTTGTTTTTGAAAATGGTGCTTCTTTTCTCCCCATTTCTTTACCATTGTTTTCATCTTTCTCAAGAAACCCTTGATTTTTTGGTCAAATTTCAAGGAAAAAAAACAAGTTTCTAAAAACTACTTTTCTTTTGTTTTCAAAACTTAGTTTAGATTTTTTCAAATTTTTCTAAAAAGCAACAACAAAACAAAGAAATTCATGAATGAGAATAGTGTTTATACACAATTTTAAATAAAAAAAAATTAAATCAAATGTTTAACAAATGGGTTATAAGTATTTCATTTTACTTTTTTTTCCTGTAAAGTTTGTTTATTATATTTTATAGATAGTTTTTAAGGAGAGTAGATGAGACTTTTGAAGAATGCAGGGTTGAGATCAAAACTAAGTTCCTACGGAAAACTCAATAACAGAATAACAAAGTTTAATTTAAAACTTAATTTTTTCAACGTTTTTGCACCCCGAAAGGGAGAAAAATACAATAAAAATATATTTCTATGACTATAAGGTTTGTTTTGCTGGAATCTTAAGGTTTGTTTTGCTGGAATGTAAGATGTCTGGCAGTCAAGGATTTTTACACTCCCACTCTAATGTCATCAAGGTCTTGTCTTTTCCTTATCTTTCGTTTTTTTTTTTTCCCTCTCTTCTCTTTTGAGTTGACCTTATGATGTTTTGGTTGACATCTAATTTGATTAAATTGTACTTTGATGTAGTTCAAACCATTTCCTTATGGTTTGAATGGCATAAAAGTACAATGTAATCAATCTATGAGGAAATGTTAATACTTTATTTTAAAAATACTTACTTGAAGTCCCTTAGTATATAAATAAAAATTGTTAATAACATTTTTCAAAAGTTCCTCCAAAATTTTAAAAGTTTCACTAATATCCTTACCTCTTAATAAAAAATAATAATTCTTACGAGAAGAAACTATTTATTTACACTTTCTAGGTCCCTTTTCTCTTCCATTTACTCTCTTTTATTTACTTCATTTCACACTTTCTTAATCTCCTTTCAATTTTCAATCTCTAAAACTTTTCTATTCTTTTTTTTCTCTCCACTCTTCTTAAATATCCTGACTTCAATTAAATAGCAGTCTTCACTTTGTTTAGGCAGGCTGAATCATAAATATAATAATTTTTTATAGTTAGAGAACAACTTTTATATACAACTTCACATAGATATTCTCATTTATCTTGATTTTTCTAATTTTTACACTAATTTTCTCAGCAACCAAACCAAACCCAAAAACTTAGAATGTAAATTATAAAATTCCACAAAACCAAAATCTCCTCTCCAAAATTGGTAAAATAGAAAAGCCAACAAAGAAATATCCTTGTGTTATGAGAAACCTTTTTATTCGGTCACAACAAATAGATTAATTTAAAATGCAAAATGAATTAATAAAGTGTTCATTGTTACGTATTTGGTAACACATGTTTTCTTTTTCTTTTTCACTGATTGTTCTCAAAATTAGTACTTACAGTTCAATGTCTCTTTATATATTAAGCTCAAACAATGCATTAGCTCACACTCAACTACGTATGTTAAACTTTGTTAAAATACTCAAGTCCTAAGAGCCCTATCTCTATTCCTCTCGCTATAGCCTATGTACCTTGATTGAAGGGGATAGTTTTAGATATTGGAGAATGGAAGAAAGGGAGTAAGAAGGTGTTGAAGAAGAGAGGGAACATAGGAAGTGTTTCATAAATCGAATTAGATGGGAGAGAAAAATTGGAAGAAGAGAAGAAGGTGATGAGATGGGATAAAATGTTTTTGTTCGAATATTTTTTAATTTTTTAAAAGGTTAAAAGTAATACATGAACATTAAGAACTCAGCTGAAGTTGTGGGTCTCACATTTGCGACCTCTGTAGCATTATCATTCAATTTGGGGCAAGGGACCTGCTGGGTGTCTGCAGGACAATATATTATTTGGTCTCTTTTAACCCATATTTGGTAGCCCTCCCCCTTCACAGGCAAGGACTGCCATTAATTGCACATGTCCTCTCCTATGTTCATTTCTCTCTTATGTTAAAACATTTCTTTTGGGATTATTGTTTAGCTTTCTGTCTGAAACAGCATCCACATTTGCCATTTCCCCTTTTACTTTCAGCAACCAAAAATGGCCATTAGAAACAAACCCAATCTAGAACTGAAGCGGGGAGACCCGTTGATGGTGCAGCTTTCTTTCTGTGCTGCCCCTCTTTTCTTTTTCTTCTTGTCTTCAGATGATTTAACATTTTGCAAACAGATATGGAAATCATGTGCCTTTGGCAAGGATTATGGGGACACCCATCCTTCCCCACTTGTGTGGTGGGTTTTGTTTTGTGTTTTTTGCAGTTTGGGGTCTGAACTTCCTTTAATTTAATCTAATGACCCTGAATTTCCTTCCTTTTCAGCTGTGCTTAATCATAGATGCTTACTTTCCTCAATGCAATAAGGGCTTACATTACAATTACCTTCCTACTTTACCTTTTTGGACCATTGGGGTTGGGACTCATTAGTATAGTCTGTATTCACATTTCTGGCTTCTTTAGTAACAGTTTTGCTTACTCATTCCCTTACTTTAGTAAACTATAGCTTTTACAGCCTTTTTTGTTTAACCCTATGTCTTTATATTCTGAAATGTTTTCCTTTGGTCCCTCTAGTTTATTAAAAGCTAATTTTATTCTTGTTTTTGTCCTTGAATTTTGATTAGGTTGTATTTAACGTAAATGTCACGTTACATTAGCTACAAATACATTTTGTTTAACATTTTACGGAGATCCAAATGAAATGGGAATAGAAGCTGAAAGTGACAAGCGAAGGCAAGAACTTTTCTTTTCCTAAAATTCGTATCAACAAAAGTTTCAAAATATATATCGAAGAGAATGTAGATTGAAATGAATAAAGTTATTAGTAAATAACAAAAGCTAGAAACAAAATTCCACTTTTATATTTATGGAAAATGTGAATGGTACAGGGAAAATGCAAAAGAACAAGGTGGCTTGGTTTGATGGTGAAGTTGACATCTTCGAGCTTCCTTTCTCAAATTTTCATTTGAGGTCAGAGGTACAAATCTCTACTTGTTATTAAGGTTTAGTGGCGACTTAACAAATTTCCTTGTTAGGATTCAATGTGTTTGGTTAACTAATTTTAGTTTTTATTTGTTGAGTATTCTACATATCTTCGAGGGAGTGTTAACTACTAACAATTTAGGACGAGTTCAGGCTAGAGTGAAGTATGCAGCTCTCCTATCTCATTGTAGCTTGCTATCATTAGAAATGTCGATGTTATTATCATTGTTATTTTAGGCTAACAACACTTGAGAATAAACAAATTTTATTATCTGACCTCTTCGAGTGGTGAAATACACATTAACTTGATGAACTAATGATTATTAGGCCATGTACGAACAAAGATATCTTTCAATTACTAAGAATTTATGTTTAAATAATTGTATACTGAGTTTCTTCTTATTTGTTACAACTATCTTAGGTTTATTTTAAATTATATTTTAGTGTCTACCATAAGAATATCATATCACAAATCGATTATTAGAATGGAAACATGTTTCTTTTAAAAAATAATAAAAAAAAAAATTAGTTGAGTTCACTTATTTATTAAATTAAAGGGATTAAAATTTCAATTTTAGCCTCCCATTACAATTAAAAGGGATTAAATAAATAAATAAATAATTCACACGTTATTACAGCGATCAAAAGCCTGATCAACGCGTCAGAAAATGGAAATCGTAAGGGGAATAAAGCGTTATAGTTGTGTATAAAAGGGAAGGGGCAAAATGGAGAATTTTATAATGCCACGTCAGAGAATTGAGAAATTGAAAAATTAAAAGTACCCGCGTGGGGATCCTATAAAGCCTCTCTTTCCTGTTCTATCTTCCACCTTCAGCTCTGCCTTCGAAGCGTGCTCTCTTCCTTCTCATTAGCTCCCTTCCCTTTCTCCTCTCACTACTTTCTCTCTCTAGAATCTAAAATTAAAGAACCGCCACAATCAATTGCTTGTTAATCTACGTTGCTTTTCTGTTCATCTTCGATTCAGCAAACTTCCAGAGAATTTTGAGGGAGAGTGGAAAAGTAGTATTGATCCAATTACGTGTAATTGGTTTTCTTTTCCAACAGTTTCTGTCACCTTCCATGGCAGCTTTTGGACCTCCAGAAGGAGACAAGAAAGAGTTGAAACACGGCTCCGAACCCTACTTCTTGTGTGCTATACTGTGACGGAGTATTCCGCCATTGTCGTTTTCTCTCTTTCCTTTCATCATCGTTTTGTTTCTCATTCTTGATTGGATTTTCATTTTCATTATCATTATAATTTTTCTTTCCTGCTGTTTCTTTCGAATCATGAGCGGGCAGGAAGTTAGGGTGAGAGGTGAGAGATTTAGGGATGGAGGAGGTATTGTACAGTCCTTCTCTTCGAGTTTGCTTGATGAAATCTACCGTTCCATTGACGATGGAGGGGATAAGAGAAGTGGAGAATTGAAGTTTTACAGACAGAAGGTGTTGAAGAAACAAGGTAAAATGATCGGGAAAGCGCAGAGTGATGTTGAAGATGAGGAGATCGCGAGTCTGCATCGTGCTTTGCTAATAGAGAGATGGATCGAGAAGAAGGTTGCTGAAAAAGTGAGCGCTCAAAGGAGACGTTCTCTGACGGAAGCTGAGATAAAATTTCAGTTGTACCAGCAGGATCGGGAAGAGGACGTTCTGTTCTTCAGTTCAACTTCGAGCTCTTCCGATTCGAGTTTCGGCGGATTTTCATCTTCGGATACTGAATCAATGTACGGTTCGAAATCCTTGACGCCGTCTTGTTTCGCAAAGTTCAGACCGAAGCCAGTTCGGACCAGCGTCTCCGCTCCACCGCCGGAGAAGACGGAGGAAAAGCAAAGACAGAGCAGAGAGAAGCCACCGTCTAAACAGATCAATCAATTCGTGGAAAACAATGAAAAATCTCGAGGTTTCGACGAGAGCGCTATGATTAAGTCGAAATCGAGGGCGTTGAAGATTTACAGTAATTTAAAGAAGGTGAAGCAACCGATTTCACCAGGAGGACGCCTCTCAAGTTTTCTCAATTCAATCTTCACCGCAGGAACTCCGAAGAAGACAGGAAACTCCGTTACGTCAACCAGAGCCTCTGAAGATCATAACTCAGAAAGAAAGTCAAAATCCGGCCAAACTTCGACTTGCTCTTCGGCTGCATCGTTTTCAAGATCATGTTTGAGCAAAAATTCGCCATGCTCTAGCGAAAAATTGCGCAATGCCGACACGAGAACGGTTCGATTTTATCCGGTGAGTACAATCGTAGACGAATACAGTAGACCTTGCGGACACAAATCCTTGTGCGAAGAAGAGCCTAAATTCGAAGTCAAGAACAAGGCCGAGGCCGCAGAATCAACAGCAGCAGTCAGGAAAATTGTAACAGATTACCAGCAAATCAGGAAGAAGAACGATTTCCTGATTAGAAAATTCCACCATCCTGACAATGATCTCTACGAAGAAGAAGAAGAAGAAGAAGAAGACGATACAGCAAGTTGTTCGAGTTCAGATCTGTTTGAACTAGATCACCTGACGGTAATGAGCGGCGATCGGTACCGGGAAGAGCTTCCGGTGTACGAAACAACCACTCGCGTGGATACGAATCGGGCCATCCGCCATTGCAAATTAGGTTAGTTCCATTTGTAATAGGTAATATAATTCAGCCATAAATTTTGTTATAGTAATGCGTTTGTTCTTTGATTGAGGAATCTTTTTCGTTCAGGATTAAATTAAGTGTGGAAAGGGTAATTTTGATCATACTCGGTTGAGGGATTTGGGCAATGGATTGGAAATGTAGAAAGAAAAGGAAAGAGGAAAGCGTGGATGGAAACGTTAATTGTAAAAGAAAGAAGTCTTCACAGTTTGATTTTGATGGATATAAAAATAAAAATAAAAAAATAAAAAAAAAATAAAAAGGAAAAGAAAGATTCTGAGAGACAAAGAAAGAGAATGTGATGGTTAAGGCAAAGGCAAATCTTCATCCCCATGGGAACAGAGAAAGTGAATTTATTTTATTTTTTTATGGTGTTTAAATTTTGTCTTCAATTTCTAATGTGTTGGCCCCTTCTGCTTCTTCCTTCCCCTTCCCAATCAAACATCTTCCCTTTCTTTTCCCTTTTTCTTTTTCCTTTTTCCCCCAAAAAATAAAACATACCAATATTACCCTCTCTTCTAAACAAATATATTTAATTTTACACACCAAACCTATTTATTTTATATTAAAGTATACCAAATATTCCTATGGTAGGGTACAAACCCCTTATTATTATTATTATTATTATTTATTTTTAATTTTAATATCTAAACTTTAAAACTTTTTATATTAAATTATTTAATTATAATTAAATATTTTATCTAATCCTTTTATTAACCGTATTAATCTAAATTTAGTAAATGGTGATTAGCATTACAACATTAGTTTATTTTTATTATATTAATTGAATAATAATAATATAAATATTTTTTTATTTTTATATTTAAAACAACTCTGTCTAAATGGGGACGGGACGATGCTTACAATAAAATTATGAAAGTTGAGCAATGGGAATAATTTTTTTCTTTTTTCTTTTTTCTTTTTTTATAATAACATATTCCAACAAATATTTTATTCATATTTTTTTTTTATTCAATTTATGGAAAAAAAAAAAAAGCAGGTAGTATTTATTAATTAATTTATTTTTGGAGCATCTAACTAAAAACAGCCAAAAAGAGGGTAGAAAAAATAAATAAAGAGAAAAAAAAAAGACTATATTCCACGTAGGATGCGGTGGATTCTAAGTTTGTTCAAGTCATACATCTACCTAATTACGAATTTCACAAACGTGTAGGATATTATAAAATAAAATAAAATAAAATAAAATAAAATAAAATAATCAAACAAATTTCAAACCCCACTCCCCCATTAATTCATAATAATTATTTAAGCGATTCCATTATATTTATTTTATTTAAATAACACAACAACTTTTACCAACTTTATTTTTTATATTTTACTTCAAGCGACCGTTTAATTAATTATGTTAAATTATTAGTTTAGTAAAATTCGTATTTATTTTCAAAATTATTAATCTGTGAATAATAAATTTATGAGGTATGGACTACAATTTTTAGAAATAATTTAAGAAAATAATTTATTTTTTAGGTATTTTTTAGGTGTTTTAATAGGCATAACCTAATAATATTCACAACAAATCTAAAATCATAGACATCAGATTCCTTCATATCATTATTCATTTTTCAACCCCACAATTTCAAATTTTATGCATATCTTAATGTTAAATATAACGGGCCATATCCATAATTCATATCAAGATTTAAAATCTAAATTTGGTATCTAATGGTCCTGACATTCGTCTGACATGATCACATTACTTGTTTATCGCTTCTAATAAGAGTAAAAACTATCTTAGGTTAAATGTAACGACCTTGAAATTTATTGCCTTTTAACCAAAATTATATTTTAAATGTTTTAAATATTTATATTTATTGTAAAATTCAACAATTTAACATAAAATTATTTAAAATAGTCGCGCTAATTTTCTTCTCTTATAAAAATAATAATAACAAAATGAGAAACATTTTTTTTTTTTAAATATCTCTTTTCTATGACAAATTGTCAAATAAAAATAAAAATAAAAACTCCCAAAAGAATTAGAACTATAATATAATACATCAGATATTCAAATCTAAAAAGAAAAGCAAAAGCAAAAAAAAAAGAAAAAAGAAAAAACGAAACAACAAAAGGAGGGGTTTTCAAAGGGGATTAAGAGTGGTC